CTGTCACAGAAATGGCTAAGTAGAAAGAATAAACAAAAATCTCACAAATATCATAGGATTTCAAAGCTAAACCAACCAACCAACCTTAGAAAGACTCGGTCAGCCTCCCACCCCCTCTCTAAAAAGGAAGGGGACAACCTTCTCCCCCACTCGAGGAAGGGGTCAAGGCATGGAGACCACTGTGGGGTAGCCCAGAGACTCATCTAAGAGAAGTAGCCAGGTCATCTATATATGTGTTATCAAGGATGTCTGCAAATATTCTTTAAAAATCAAAAAGAAAAAAAAATTGTTCTCTCTCCTTTCAGACAGATTGTTATAAAATCAGAAAGGAATCGGCCCTGCAGTGTCATTTACCGGGCAGTTTTTATGGACGGTAGTTAAATTCTGGCCTTGGCAACAAAAGCCTCCGACACTTTTTCTTTAAAGGCTTGAGCTTGCAGAAAGCTCAGAGAAGAGGGCAGTGGGGTTTGTTTTTAAAACAAACTGGAAGCATTTTACAGAGAAGCTTGTAAAACCAAGCCGAGCGTTTCATTCGAATTCGAGTGGCCTGGAGGAGAGAACAAGGGGGAATGTCCCAGGAACTCTCAGAACCGCTGGAAGCGCAGAACAACACAGGCAAGATGTCAAGGATTCTTTTGGTTTCATTTTTCCCCCTCAAAATTTCCAAAGAACAGAGTTTAGCAAACAAGGGGGACCATCGGTTCTGCTCTGCGGCTTTCATCTGTGCTCGGGTGTCGTCTGAGAGCCAGGCTGAGCCACAGGATCCCAAGAGGCTTGATTTGTCGTGACCAAGAGTGTAACGAGCTACGGCTTTTAAAAAGTGTAACTGAGATTCACCTCAGAGAACAATGCTCAAGTAATGAGTGTTGGTTGAGGGAAAAAGAATAAAACTCTGCTATATGTGATAAAAGAGAGCAATTGCACAAACTACAGACGACAAGCATGGTGTCACACGACGCATCTAAACCATAAGAAGGTGCTGTAAGTAAAACCAGGGATTAGAGTTGTGCTGAAACTACCTTTGAGATCCCTTCAAAGTTGGATTTTTAAAGAAATGTTATCCTGGGGACTGAGGTAACAATGTGAAAGCTGTGAGACAAGCAATTTTATGTGTCACAAGTCCTCCATTGGCTCCCATGCTCACGATTCCTTCTGGAGATCCTCACGTCATTTCTCAGCAGGTCACAGCAGTCACAGAGGTGGACGCCACATGGAGGCACAGGTGCCAGGGCCTGGGAGGGGCCTATCGTCTTCTCTATCGGACCCTCGCTTAGCTTCGTGAAGTAGCTTTTCAGGCTCCACCCAAACAGGGAGGCTTGATGGGTTAGTGGTCCCCCAGTGGGGTGCATTTGGGACCCACTGGGGTGCTTGGGACAGATGGGCCTTAGGTCAGCAGACTGGGTGGGGCCAGAGAATCTCATCCTGAATAGGGCAAGAGTCTTGAGATTTGCTGAGGCCCCTGGGAAAGAACAAGGGGAGGGACTTCACGTAGACCTGCCATTAAATAACAAGGACCCAGAGCGAAGATGGGGAGAGAATGGCAAGGTGGCAGAGACTCTAAAGGCTTCCAGAGGGAAACATAGGTCCCTGTAATACTGTCACATAAGAATTATTTATTTGGTCTTCATCCCAGTTCCCTGCACAGAGCTCCTAAAACTCTGGAATTTCCTGCATGATGGGGTGAGAGGAGCATCTGTTGTTATTCATGAACAAGTCCCTTTCAACTTTACCTGGGTTTATACCCATGAGGTGAGGTATAAATCTTGGAGGATGGGGGCTGGTTGCTAGGGGAACCCACCTTGTGATGAGAGGGTTGGAACTTTCAGCTCCGCCCCTGACCTTCTTGGAGGGGGAAGGGCTGGAGACTGAGCAGATGGATAATGACCAATGATTTAATCAGCAATTGCAATGGGACCTCCATAAAAACCCCAAATTAAGGGGTCCAGAGAGCTTCCTAGTAGTGAACCCGTGGAAGCTCCGCCCTTCCCACACCTTCCCTGTACGTCTCTTCTGTCTGCTGTTCCCGAGTCATATACTTTGTAATAGACCAGCACAATAGTAAACATAAGTAAAGTGTTTCCCTGAGTTCTGGGAGCCCTTCTAGCAAATTATGGAAACTGAGGAGCGGGTTGTGGGAACCCTGATTTATAGCTGGTCACTCACAAGCACAGGTGACAACCTGGACTTGTGACTGGAGTCTGATATGGGGTGGTTTTGTGGGACTGAGCCCTCAGCCTGTGGGGTCTGCATCAACGCTGGGCAGGTAGTGTCAGAATGGTTTGTTATGAGGAGAAAAACCCACATGTTTGGTATCAGAAGTGTGAGAGTAAAAGAACGAAAGTGTTCCCCTTTAGTCACTTGTCACAAGAGCAGGAGTTAGAGTGTGTGAAGACTTCTTAACACCACAAAGTTCTGAGGAAAACTCCTGTGACTGAGAATGGGAGACCCGGGCAAATGGATAATTTCCATGCGTGCAAGGAAAGACACGGAAAGTTCACCTTCTCCATATCCTTTCTGGAAAAGTTGTTTGGAAATACACTCCCGCAGAAAGAGAATAAAACAAAAAGTAAGAAGACATGAGATCCGAGGAATTATGAATACAACTGGAGAACCAGGGGGCCTTGTTGCAGTCTGTGAATTGAGTATCCACACCCAGGGGCTGAGGGTGATTGGGGAAAAGGAAGGGGAAGGGGGCACAGTTGGAGAAGTATCCTGTGGTGACACAGCAATGATAAGACCATCTGCAAAGTCAAGAAAATTTCATGGAACAGGAGATAGGCCTAGAACACAGAGACAAGGCATAAATAAAACAGTGCGCCTGGGCTGCAAGGAGCTCACAGGTAGATGGACAGACAGGTACATTAATAACACTAAGAATTCCTCTGAGCAACAGCAGTTCGAGTCCCAGCCCAAGCTGAGCAGCCGCTGAGGGGCCAACAGGTGGCAGGATGGCTCAGCTAAAAAAAATACAAAAAACAAAAAACCCCACTAAGAATCCTAATAAATGTGCAACGGGTGAAGGAAGCATAGGGCAAGGTGGGGTTAGCAGTTCACCAGAGCTGTGAAGTGTGTGGATAGCCCCTATGGTATTGGGGACAATCCCTGGGACTTAAGGGACTCTCAGGTGGCTCACAGTCCAGTGAGATACGGAACCCTCCAGAAAGAGATCAGGGCAGGATCACTGCCCACTTGCCCCAGCCATCTCAGCCAGAGAATCTCATCCCTGACATTGAAAACTAGTTCCTTTAAACAGCTGAAAAACACTGAATCTATCCCAAATATACTTGCAAGGTAGAAAAAAAAAATTCATCTGCCAAAACAAATCATTCTGTGCTCAGCACCAGGCTTAAAATATCTGCTTGACCCAGTGGCTCAAAACTGTTTCCTTCTGAATTGAACAGAGAATCCCCGTGGAGATCAAAGGCAGCCTGCTCATTTGAAAGCCATGAGCCAGATTTTATAAAGCTGTGCTCTCTGCAAACAAAGCCACTGGGGTTTTTCCACAGTTATAGGCTCCCCTTTTAAAGGTCTATTAAAGTCTCAGAGATAAACTTTGTCTTGACTTCATCTTTTGCTAAGTGACAGCTCAAACGTTTAGAACGACTATTTCATCCTGCAGAGGATAAAGCAACACAGCAAGAATTATTTTTTCTATAACTTAAAAGAGAGGGCTGAGCTGAAAGCCCATATTGGCAATCACACAGCACACACGTCCCTCCACAAAGCCTTGCAGTGATAACGGTGTGTCCACTGTTTGCTAGGAGGTGGCCTGAGTTATCCAGGGCACGGGATGCCCAGCCTCACCCTCCTGGGGTGCTGCCCAATCCTCAGTGTTTGTGGAAGGTCACTGTTCAAAGAGCTGCAATTCTGCTCTTTCTTCCACGTGTGAGGGAAGAGATTTAGAAATGAAGTTGAGCCGGTCAGTGCCCAAGGCAAACAATCACTTCCAGGTACCATCGCCCTCTGGAACACTCTAGAAGTTAACTGCCCTCTCGCCCAGGCCATCTCAGCCTGGGACTGTTCCCATTGGTCTCCCTCACTTCCAAGTTTGTTTGAGAATCTCAGTTTGGTTTTATAGTCACGACTGCAGGTTGGGTTTATGAGGTCTATACTTGTGTGTCCACTCCTGCTCCCGCGCGCTCAAGGCGTTTGTATCCTTCTGGGTGTAGGGAGAAGGGCGGGAGAGGTGGACTCAGCGCAGGCGGCCAGGTCAGGCATGGACGTTCTGGGCCTGGACTGACTTCTCTTTGGCTCCGCAGGCTGGTAGGCAAGCCCTGCGCTGCTGCGGGCCGAGTAGTTCTCAGCCTGGTCAGGTGTGGACCTCATCGAACCTCCAAGTGTGGCGCAGGCTTCACCTGCCGCTCCTCTCAAAGCTGAGGGCAAGCCTCCCACGAACATCAGGAGGCAGGGGGAGCGCCTAGGCCCCACTCCCGGGATCAAGGCTCAGGAGGGTCCCTCAGGGGCTGCCCGCGGATTAGGATGTGTTCGTGGAATCGGAGGCGCACTGAGTGCAGACGCTACTCCTGCGTTTAGGCTGCTCCAGGGCCCGGGGCAGGGGTGCTGCTCAGGTCGCTAGGCGCCCACGTTCCCGCTGTCCCCAGCCCGCATCGGGCTAATGGGCTGGGAGTTCTGCAGCGCGGCCCCGAGGCTGGCTGACCACCTGCAGCCCCTACATCGCCGCGTTCAATCTGGGGGCCTGATTCGGGGTCCAGGCAGTCGACGGCCGGCGGGTGGGGCTGGGGAGGTCAGGGAGGGCGACAGAAAGCAAAGGGGGTCCAGGTGCGAAGTCATCTAACGAGGACCCTCATCCCGCCCGAACTGACCCGGACCTCTGGACCGGGGGGAGAGTGGGGGCGCAGAGGGGGATCATAAGGCACCCGGCTCCGCCGGGTACCCGCCTGTGGGCGGCCTGGGGACGGGGCGGGACAGAGTCACGGGCGGGGTTCGCGGGCGCGCGCAGAGGGGCGATACCGACGGGTGCCCGGGTGCCGCAGACTCACAGTAAACGAAAGCGAGGGCCCTCAGGAGCACAATCCTAGTCAGCCAGAAGGTGCCCGCGCGGAGATGGGACGGGCCGCCCGCGGGGTCGCGCCCCGGCCCCGGCGAAGACCCAGGCTCCGGGCCAGTCTCCCTCACTTTCCGCCTCCTTAGCGGTTCCTCGGGCGCCGCCATGTCCGGGCTGTCAGGGCGCATGCGCGGGGAGCGCCGCGCGCCGGGACGGCCTGCCCACACCCGGGAGACCACGCCTGCTCCGTCTCACCCCGCCTATGGTCGGGAGGACACGCCCACTTGGGGGAGCGCGCCCCCCGCAGGCCGAGACGGGTACTGCGACAGTAAGGGCAAAGAGGTGGGTACCTGGGAAGAAGGAGCGCATCACTCCCCCTGGAAGGGACTGACCCACTCCATTCACTCACTCATTCATCACCCAACGTTGCATAGGGCCCTCGGTGCACGCCCGACGTAGGCGTCTGCCCTCATGAACCCTCACTCTAGGAAGGGGCAGAAGGCACTCTACAAGTAGAAATGCAGTGGGAAGGAGACTGTTGTAAAGGTTGTGTCTGGCCAGTACCAGGGTGGGCCTTGTCAGCGTTCAGGGCAGCAGAGGACCCTGGTGGGTACTGCACTCCCTCTTCTGCTCCTACAATGTGTGGAGTCACAGTCCCTCAGAGAAAAGGCTGGAGCAGTAGCTTCAACCCAGGGCTCCAGGCTGTCACTGCCTGCATGGGGTGGGTGGCCAGGTGCCTCACAGGTGTCTCCTCCCTGATTTCTCCTCTCCACTGTCCAATGAGAGTCACAGAGCTAGCGAAGGACAAAGCAGGACTTGAAATTCAGCTAGGTCCTCCAGCTCAGATCAGCAAAGCCCGTTGGACAAGCAGAGCTCCTACAGGCTCTCAAGACTGGACCTCCAGCAATGGGGGAAAGAGGTGCATTGAGGACTCAGAGGAGGGAAGAACTTACTGACCAATGACCCAAGCAGAACCCCAGGAAAGACACCGGCAGTTCTACGTTCTGAGAATAGGGCAGTCCAGACACTTCTCAGGAGAGGTGGCTCCACGAGTGTGGAATTGTAGGTATTCCTTAGAGGAAAGAAGGGGTGTGCAGGCCAGAGTCGGTCTTTACAGCCCTAGGGGTCATTGGGTGAACTGTGGGACACTTGGAAGCAGATCATTGAGGTCGGTGTTTTTCTTATTCATTTGTCAGAGCTCTTTACACATTAAAGATCCTATCCTTGTGTGTATAGCGCAAATGTTTGTCCCAGGTTTTTAATTTGGTTTTAAATCTTGCTCTTAGCATTTTGACATACAAATGATTGACACTTGTGTGGTCAAATGATCGGTCTTGTTTATTTGTATCTTCGCCACCTGTAGAGTGAACTCCATGAGGGCAGGGACTGGCTCTGGAAATAAGATCCCCCAAATCTAGGCCAAACCAGCAACTTCTGGAACCCCCTCCCCAGCCTCTTTCCCACCACCATTGTTGGAGTGATAGCATGTATGTGCATCTTATGATGCGATTTTCTTTTTTAAGTTTCCTTTTCTTTGCCATGAAAAACCTTCCCTTTGGAGTCCAACTCTGAAGTGGAACCTGTAAAAGATGTTGCAGTGGGCGGCGCAAACATCTTTCTTATCCTGGCGAGGCCCCAGCAGGAAAGTGTGTGCCCAGAGCGCTCACAGTCTTGGGGATCAGAGGAACACTTAGGCCTGGCCCATGCCCTGCTTCCAGGTCCTTCCATGGGAACCCACAACCTGTCCCCCTCCTTTTTGTCACTCAGGATGAGCCAGCATAGCTATTTGGGGAGAGCAGGGAGAATCTAGCACCCTCAACCCAAGCCAGCCCAAGCTGCCCTGGGTCCTCGTCTGGATTTGGGAACTGCTCAGGGGACAGGAGGAGAGGAAGGACAGCTCTGCCATCAGGTGTGACCCTGGGTGCTGCTTTTCAGGTGGGAACAGTCCTTACAAAGGGCCTTTTGTCTTCAGCTTCCCCTGGCCAGAGCTGCATTGTTCTCCCCAGAGAAGAGCACAATGGTGCATTGTGCAGAACAGAAAGGGGCCCCTTGTCCAGCCTCCAGCTCGCTGGGCTCCCTGCTCCCTCTGGGTTTGCCCAGGGTGGGCGAGGCCATTGAAGAGGTCTGCTGGGAGCTCATGTTCTCCTGTTTCCTCCATCCTGGGAGCTGACAGCAGAGGTCCAGTCCGAGGGTCCAGAGCTCTGGCAGGAGTGGACCTCACTGACAGAGCTCTGGACGACAATAGGCTGGCCAATGGCTCAATTCTTGCCCATTCAGCCTGAATTTAATCACAAGGACGCTGGTATGTTACTCAGCCATAAAAAGGTGTGAAGTACTGACACGTGCTACAACATAGATGAACCACAAAACCATCATGCTAAGTGAGAGAAGCAAGACACACAAGGTCACATGTTGTGTGATTCCATTTATATGAAATATCCAAATTAAGCAAATTCAGAGACCAAGCAGACCCGTGGTTCCCGGGAGCTGGTGGAGGGGGATGAGGAGTGACTGTTAATTGGTACAGGGTTTCCTTGTGTGGTGACAAAAACGTTCTAGAACTAGATAGAGGTGATGGTTGTACAATGTGAATGTACTAAATGCCACTGAATTGTACACTTAAAAATGCTTAATTTTATGCTATTTCACCTCAAAAAAACCCCACAAAACCCAAAACAAAAAACTGCCCTGGGGTTATTTCAGAATCACCTAGAAGGCACTGCTTTTATCTGTCAGAATAGGTCATGTCATTCACACCAAACTTACCTCTTCATCTATATTTAGAAATATTTAGATGCCGGTGCGTCTTACGTCCCAAGAAGGTACTCCACTTACAAACAAAACCTTGTCTATATACCTTGGGCCAGCCGAGGTGTCCAGTGCTGGTGCTGGAGGCACCAGGGTGCTTTCCTCTCAGCCTGCTGCTCAGCTCCTCCACCCTGGGCACGCTGGGGTTTCCACCAGCAGACTCTCACCTGCACCAGGGGGTTGGCGGTGGGGCAGGGGGCTCCTGAACCTACGTTCTCAAGCGAAATACGGTATGAGAAAAAGTCAAGCTGATATGGGAGAGGCTGCGAGGTGCTGTGATGAGGCCTAACTGCTTAGGACTGGTTATAGGAGGACTCGGGGTTGAGCCCCATCTGGACAGAGCCAGAGAGAAGGCAGAGAAAAGAAGGAGAGGGGAGAAAGGGGGGCTCCCCTGAGGAGCTGTCAGCTCAAGCCTGGGGCTGATGTGGAGACCTATGGACAAGTCGGGATCCCTAGGTGGGCCCGAGTCCCTGGTGGGCCGTTCTGCAGCTCCTCCAGTGCGGCCCCACACCTGGGGCCCACACTAGCCCGTGGGCTGGCAGCCCTCCCAGCAACTGCGGGGCAACTTCACAGAGGAATGAAGCCAGTGTCAGCACCTCATCCAGCTGTCCCTGGGCACCCCAGCCTGGCAGCCCCCACTGCATCAGGGCAATTGTCCCCGACATGCATTTGCAGTTCTCTGGTACCCATGAGAACCCAGCTTGGGCACGAATCTAATCGTGCACCCTTCATTTACCCCAATTTTTCATGTCTTGACATCTGTTGATGGGAGGGCAGGACCTACTGGCACGAACATCTGTGACTTTCTTTTGGAGGGGTGGTCAGTTTGGGCCCATCCCACCATTAACTGTCCAGCAGCCAAAACCTCCTGGTGAGGCTGGCAGGTGGGGGTGGGGGTGGGCGAGCAGGTGTTGGGCCATTTGCTGGTTGTTCTGGAACTATGACTCACTCACAGACGGCTGTTATGCTTGGCTCGCCCAGCTCTTCTCCCGGCACCCTCGGCTCTGGGCCATGAGCACGCCCGCGCCTGCACCCCAGAAGGAGAGGTGGCCCCGAGCTGGTGAATCACAATGGCTCGGCAGAATGGAAGGCAAAATATCTCAGTGCAGTTCCATTCACTGGTTGTAGGGCCCCACGGGGGGAAAGAATGTAGTTTTAAGGTTTTTCTCTTAGAATCACATAATAAACTGGAAGAGCCTGGGGTACTGCCTAGGTCAGTGGTCACGAACATGAGGCCTGGGGGCTGAATTCTGCCCACAGAGCTGTTACCAGTTACCGATCGCCACAATAAAGCCGTGTAACAAACAGCCTCAAAAATCACAAGTCCTTGTGTCAGTCAGCAGCGCTACCCATCCGAGCTGGGCTCAAGTGTGCATCTGTGGTCAGCTGAGGTCTGATTGGCAGCAGGGCCCCTGCTGGCCATTGGGATGACCAGGGCCTCTCTCTAGTCATCCACAGACCCCACCACTCCTTACAGACTGGCCCATGGCTGCTTCCGCATCCCCTCCCTGCCTGATTCCTGAAGGCCTTTAAGTCCAAGACCTCTGATTTGGCCCAAACCTCTTTATTTCACAGGTGGAGGGGGCTGAAGGCTGGGCCGGGGGAAACTTGTGCCCAACGCCATCCATCGCCAGGTCTCCCTTTCCTGTGACCCTCCCCCAGTGATGAAAGCAGACAATCCATTTCTGGAAAGAGTGGGTGGCCTTCCTGTTACATGTCCTCCTTGAAGACATGCCAGATGGGCCCACCCAAAGGAGACAAGCTCTGAAAGTTGCTAGCTTAGAGGGATGATGAGTCCACAAGCAGAGAAAATACAATAAACATCAGGCATTGGCTGCTGCACGCCGGGCATCCTATATATTTATACGTCAATTGACGCAGGCCCAGCAGTGCCCACAGAACCGACAGGCACTCCAGGACCCTCTGCTGCCCAGAGCGATCCTGTAATTTGCACAAAGACAAAGGGCCACAGAGGACAGATGGCAGCAGGTCCCCTACATCAAACACTCTCCTTTCCAGAATCCCAGCGCTTTCTTGGGGGAGCCTCCAACTCCCTGTTACCCCTTTCCACACCCCAAGGGCAGGAGGCAGAGGCAGTGAACCAGCATGGGCCCCTAATTAACAAATCACTCTGTGGCACGTATTTAACGTCATTAGAATGTTTTTCTGCAATGAGCTTCTGTAGGGCAGGGCCCTGTGGGTCATCACCCTCTGTCCCAGCACCAGCGACGGCCTGGCATGGTGTAAACGCTCCAGAAGTGTTTGCGGAAAAAGCTACGGAAGAGGAAACACTTAAACACACACTCCAGGGTCTCATGTCATGGATGACGCGGCAGCCATGTGAGGGAATCTCTTCATCTCAGAACTGTTGTTAAGTCATGTGGAAAAACGCCAGA